ATGGTGCTCCCAATACGTAGCAAACGACTGCGCACAGCTGAATTGAAAAACATGTATAAGGACCTGAAGGGAGATAAACTAGATATGAAGTAGCAGCGAATACTGTGTTACAAAGTTGGCTCTGTATCTTGGAGAAGATGGAGAGCCCCTAAAGCATTTGAAGGAAGAGGATGATGGATCAGATTGACAGTAACTCCACAGCACTAGGTGGATAAAGATTAGAGGTGAGGGATAAGATGGGGTTGAGGAGGCCAGGTGGGAAGCAACGACAGACTGAGGGCGGAGAGGAACAGGAAGAAATGAGATAGGCCAGGTGCACTGAGCAATCGGATACGAGGCGTGAGCGAGAGGAAAGAGTCTGGGATGTTTGTCAGAGGCCAGACAAGGCCATGGGCTGAGTGACTGCACCCTTCACAGCAAGATGGAAAACAGAGGGACTGCTGGTTTGTGGTGAAGGTGGAGAGTGGTACACAGCAAATTTAGCAGCCTTGGCCTTGGCCTTTCAGTATGGGAAAAGCTCAAGTAACATTCTAAAATTTGAAAAGGCACAGTTTTAGTCAATTTTAGTGTTTGTCAATATTTTTCTAATAACGAAGTATGTAATATACCACCAGGAGAGTCGACAAATTCCAATATTTATTTCTTGGAAGATTGGAGATGAGACAATTACATACAGGCGAGGGTTGTTGGGTTTTTGTGGGGCTGTTTTTTCCCATCAGGGACATGTTCTGTTTTGTTTTGTTTTAAACAGCTGAAAGCAAGTCTGAGCAGTGATTTATTCATAATAAAATCAATTTGAGAAAAATCCCAATTTGCAGATCCTGGCAGAACTATAGCACTCCTCATTAAGATGCAGGAGAGGAAAAGAGCCAAATAATAAATTTAAGATAACACTAATATGCTACGGAAGAAATAACTGGAGAATTCTGTTAGTACTGAAAAATAACGTTAAGAAACTATGAGTGCGTTGTTTAAGGGCAAATTTGCAGGATGGCAAAAATAGAATTGAAGTCTCCTGTCAGTTTTAGAGAGCAATCTTTGCTGTCTTTGCAATCCACAAGCCTAATTTACTATTTAGAATTCCTACTATGTAATTCTTCTGTTTCTTTTGGCTTCCAAGATAGAGAAAAATTTTCCCATGTCTTCTATCGATGTGGCAGTCATCTTAGGTTTTTCATATTCCAAAGAATAAAATATTTAGAACAAGGGGCGTGTTGGTTTGCTTCTCTGCCCTCCTCCAGTCACTCACGTACTGGAAGGCATGCACAGAATTAGAGGATAGAATGGGAAAGGACCACGGGCGCAGGAGAAGCTGCTGAAGCAGCCCGAATGAAAGGGGCCATATTGACCGTCTCAAAATAACAACACAATCGTTCTGCAAGGCTCCACCCACAGGTGAGAGTAGGCGTTTGTCAGGTGGAAGGCAAGGGAGACATCAGCTTAATTGTGGCAGTGGGAATTGGTATTATCTAAAGAATGGGCCTCCGGGAGATAATTGTCCTACCAGAAATGTTCACCCCAAGAAGACCCAGTCACTTAGGGTATTTGACTAAAGGATATAAGCAATAGAAGAGATAAAGGACTAGAAGATTCTAAGGATTCTCAAAGATTCTAAGAACTCTTATTTCCTTAGCCTGATTAAAGCAGGGTTCAAAAATCCCTAACTTTTAGAGCCTGGTGTGACTTCAAATGAACTTATTTAAATAAATCATTTTTCAAAGATATTAATCTAGGTAAAATGATAAATAATTAATGACTTAAAAATCAAATCAGTTGAACATTTTTTTAAAAACCTGAAATGCCATAAATATATCTGTGAAATATGATTTGGAACGATTCTTGTTTTGATGATCACACACAAACACACACACACACACACGCGCATTCTAAAACATGTTTTATTTTAGTGAAATTATACTAAAATATATTATAAGAAGAGGGGAAAACCTTGGATACTTCAACAGCATTAATCTATCTTTGCATTGCTCTTCACGAAAGACACTGAATTATAGATTTGTAGAGAAAAAGAACATAAGTAGTTGAACACCCAAAATTCCAAGTTGAATAGTCAAATAGTAGGCCCTCTCCTAAGGTTAGCATAATTTATAGGTCTTCTTGATGGTTCTTAGCCAGGGTTGCTCATCAGACTCCCCTGTGGGTGCTCCAGCCTCATCCCTGATCTACTCCCCATGCATTTCTCTGACAGTCAATGAAGCTGAGCCACTCTTCACGTGTTTATTGGCCATCTTCTTTGAATTGCCAGTCTCTATCATTGTTCTATCTTTTCCTTTTTACTTTTTTGGATTTATAGGATCTCTTTGTTTATTAGAGATATGAAACAATCCGGTTACATGCAAATATTTTTCTTTCATTCTCTCGTTTACTTTTTGTCATGTTTAGGATAAACTTTAAGACTCAAATCACCAAGCCTAATGATCATTTTATAATTTTAGTGTGCTTTTCAAACACCCAACTAGAGCATTTCTTGCAGTCAGCAAAGCTGAGGTTTCAACTAAATAAAAATGATAGAATGGATCATGTAAGATATTGTTAACATGTTAGTGGAGCGTTCTCATTGTGAAATTCTTGAACATCCTTAGTACTTGATAAAATACTAAAAATTTCTCCATGTCTTAATTTAAAATGGAAACTTATTTAGACACACATTCTTGTTTTTAGCACATTTTGTACATAGATCGTTCTTTTTTCATTTGAGAATGGAGAAACGAAATATCATATGTTTCCCCCATTTCTGTTGCCTTCTTAACCAGTTTAAGAGGAAAACAAAAATCATCATTCTCTTTTCCAGAATTAATTCTCAGATTGCTCAATTCAATCTCTTTGATCCTTTATGTAGACAGCACGCCTTTTTCCTTTGTTTTGCTAATCATGCTGGGGGTGGAAAGAGGAAGAAGTTATTCTGAATCTCAAAGTGGATGAGAGAGTAATAGTTTTTACTCACTCACATATCACTTTTCTCTTATTCTCCTTATAAACTGGTACGATTTTTTTCTGATCTCTTTCTATTCCCTTCTTCCAAGCAGTTAATTTTTCTGTAATAAAAAGTGAGTTCTAATATATTTTTTAATGTACTGAGTTCTTAACTACATGTCAGGAACTAGGGACACAGAGATAAACAGGCCTGTCTTTGCTCCTAAGCTCAGAGAGCAGGCAGAGGACACAGGTGCTGTGGTTGAGGGAATAGTGTCCCAACAAGGTCCATTTTCTAATTCCCAGAACCTGTCAGTAGTTCCTTACACCTGGCAAAAGGGACTTTGTAGATGTGATGAACGTTAAGGACCTTGAGGTGGGGAGGCTAGCCTGAATTATCCAGCTGGGGCTAATCACACACGTCCTTAAAAGCAGAGAGCCTTCCCCAGCTGTAGTCAGAGACTCAGAGCAATGGCCGCCGCATGAGGGAAATTCAGCCTGCAGTTGCTGGCTTTGAAGGTAGAGGGAGAGGCCACAAGCCAAGGAATGTGGCAGCGTCCAGGAACTGGAATGGTAAGGAAACAGATTCTTCCCTAGATCTTCCAGAAACCACACAACCCCACTGCCACCTGGATTTTAGCCCAGTGAGAGCTGCATCAGGCGTCTGACCAACAGAACTGTAAGATGATAATACATTTGTGTCGTGTAAGGAGACAAACTTGTGGTCATTTACTAGAGCAGCAAAAGGAAACCAATGCTGATGCTGTCCACTAAGTGAAAGGCAGTTCAGACTCAGGGTAGAACGGAGGCCTCAGCCGAGTAGTCTGGGGCCCTCAGTGCAGAGCGAGGCCCAGCTGATGAGAGAGCCGCACAGGGGAGGAGGGAGGCCTGCAAGTGGTCCTTCAGACTCTAGTATTTGTTCATCCCAGAAGGAGGAGAAGGATGTTTTAGACAAAGGAATGGCCACCCTGGTCAACATCACAATGTGTTTGCGTGTCAATTTTCTGTGTGGGCAAAGTTGTGAGAAGCTTAAAAAAGGAATATAAGTACTTCTGCTTCTGGCAAAATAACCGGCTAGACCCTTCGAAGGATCTTAGTACTTTCAACCATCATACGGTGACTAATACACGCTTTTTAATGCACTGCTGGGCTTCCAGAGAATAAGAAAATATCCAAAGCCTTCCTTCCCACAACAAAAAAATATAGTAATGGCCATTATGTAGCTCAGACCCACTTTCATGCTGAGAACAACTAAACAAGATGAAACAAAAACAGTCACCCAGAAATTACCAAGACTCTAACAGGATCATAAGCCGCAAAGGTGGGAATCCAGAGAGGCACATGCAGCACCCAGAGTGGCTTTCTTCCTGGGGGAGTGTCCCCCCCAAGAAAGGTGGCTGAGAGGCTAATCAGCATGAACAAGGAACAAAAAGTGCGAGCCAAAAAAGAAAAAAACGGGTAAATTAGACTGCATTAAAATTAAAATTTTAAGTGAACTTCTGTTCACTTAAAAAAAAAAAAAGGCAAGGGTAAAGCACAAAGACAAGACACAAATAGACTAGCAACACAAATAACAAATAATTTGATTTAAGAATACATAAAGAACTCCAGAAATTCAAGGAAAAGACAAACAGTCCACTAGACAAAAATTCCCCAATTATAAACAGACATTTTACAAAGCAGTAGCAGCACAGATGGTGAATAAATATGGTAAAATGTCACCAGAGAAAGGCAAATTAAAACAAGATATCATTTTATACCCAGTATCAGCAAACTGAAGAAGTCTGACAATTCTGTGTTGATAAGAATATTAAGCGGTGGGAGCTCTTGTACACAGCTGGTGAAAATTTATAATGAATTGGTTCAAACTCTTTGGGGAAAAAATTTGATTTGGTATGATATATTATTTTTGAATGTTTACATATCCTGCAACCCAGCAATTCCATTTTTGGGTATATATCCAAATATATAGAAGAACACTGGTGCATGTGCACCCAAAGCCATGCATAAAAAGCATTCATAGCAAAGCTGATGGAATAGTAAGAAAAATAAACAAATAGCATCAATTTAATTGATCATAGACAAGACAATGGTTAAATACATTAGGATATATTCACACAAATATTATACAACTGAAAGTAAATGGATATGTATGAATTATAATGTAATAGCATATCATGTTGCAAAGAATTACATATTATGAAACAAGTTTTCTAAAGCACAGAAAAACCTAAATAATAAATAGGAATATATTTAGATGTTTTTAGTAATGCCTATGCTAAGACATATGGATTAATTATAACAGTAAATCAAACTAGCAGGTTGCAAATGACTAGAGTATGACACCATTTTTATAAAGCTCTAACATAAGCAAGACTACGTACTGTTTAGAGATACACAGAAAAATATATGTGGTTTTACATGTAAAGTCACATATAAAAACCAATAGCAAAGTGAAATGGTAAACACAAAATTCAAGGTGGGATATCCCTGGCAGGAAACAGGGCTGGGCTGGTCGAGGGGCACAGAGGACGCGTCAGTGGAATTGGCTATGCTTAGTTCATTCTCTGTGTGTTGTGTTCACTGGTGGTCGTCTCATTATCATGTTTTTTAACTTACAAATATATTGCATATATTCTTTTGTAATATCAAATATTGCATGATCAAAGTTTAATCAAACTATACAAAATTATTTTTGCTAAGATGGCTGTTCTTCCGGCACTCCATCAACGAGTGCTCTTTTTTTTGTACCTCTGACCTTGAACGAGAGTCACAGGCCTGAAAGAAGAAGAAAGTGTGTTGTGAGATGATATATACAAACGCTGTCTGAGCTCAGCTCAGAACTGATGATCTTCCCAGACTGGATGTCGCGAAGCTATTATAAAATGACAGAGCCAATTCTCTATTACTCCGTTGGGTCATATTTCAATTTAGCGGCTCATTTTTCAATGTAAGACCTATCTTTACAATACCCTGCTCAAGGGTGGACCTGGGCTTTAAGTAGTTCTTGGCTGTCAAGTGCCTCCTCACTCTATCCCCCTAAAATTGAAAGTCATATTAACATATTTTCAAGAAAGGGTGGGAAAAGTTCCTTCGTTTAAATTACATTTTTCGTTTTCAATATATAGTTGAAACACACGATAAAGGCTTGTTACCAAACATGTTGGGGGAGTGTGGAATGACAGTTGGTAATCAATTTCAGTCATTTTAATTCATATTGGTGTCTTCCTCACTTTCAGGGCAGGTGAGACAAAAATCCAACCACACTCACCACCCTAGTGCCTCTCCTATCCCAGTGCCTCTCCTCCCTCAACCATTCCATCTTGCTGTGTTTCCCCCAAGCAGGATTATTTTTCTTCTCTCACCACCTCCTACATACAAACACACTCCCATCATTTCTAATTCCCAAATTAAAGTCTTTCCCCACCACCTACCTTTTGCTACTGGCAGGGCTGTGAGGGGTTTGGGGGACTGAAGTGGGTACAAAGGGACCAAGGGACCAAGGAGGAATGGGGGCCTGGGCTGGGAAGATCTTTAATCTGACAATGCATAGAAGAGGAATCAGAGCCACAATGCAGATTCTAAGTCAATGTTATCCCTATGTATCGAGGTTGAAAGGACCCGAGTCAAATTCCCAGCTCTGGCAACTTTTAGTTGGGTGACAACTGACAAATTACTAAATGTCCCAGAGCCTCAGCTGCTTCATCTGTGAAAATAGTAATACCTACATCCTAGTGTAGCTGTAAGGATTTGACTATGTTTATAAATTGTAAATACTCAGTATATAATCCAACATGGCGCTTTATTTGTATTGGGTGAATATGTTTTAAATTATAGAATTTCTTTCTAGGCTTGTTAATAGATACAGATTTCACTCATTACAGGGTGACTTACTTACTTATCCTTGAATACAGATTTCTCGACATTCGTTTTCACTGTTGAATCTATTTCCTGAACCATTACAGCCACTGAACCAAAAGCGGGCACAAGAGTTGACTTGTTTATCATAATACCATCGAACCACATATTCGCTACAGTTTCCAGGTATTAGGTCTTCTAAGCATCGAGGATCTAGGTTGAGAAAAAGATAATGTGTTATTATAGGTTTTTCTTTTACTGAAAAGATGAAAATTAAAAGCTTTTGTAAAGTTTATTCTCCATGCACACTAATACACCAACTAAAAAATATTGCTCTAAGTTAAAGAAGGGTTTCTTAATACTGAAAACATTTCCTCTACCACCTGAAATTCCACCATTAGATATTCAATCCTTTGAAAATGTAAAAGTTTTCAATCTTTATGAAACCTCATTAAAAATGCCTATTTCCCTGAAAGCATAAAACTGTGAGCCTTCATTGGCTAAAACTCTTGTGGGAATTAGTTGACAAGACAAAAATAGGATTTCTTAGTTTACTTTGATTTGATTTAAGATCAAATTAATATTTGGAATGAGGATGATTCGGGCCTTCTGTACACATTCCCTTCCAGCTTGTTCATAGAAAACACCTCTATAATCACACGTCATTGTGCTATTAAACAAGGAAGATCCCTTTAAATTATGAAAAAAGGTGAAAAAAAACGGGGGGCTCTCTTCATATCACAATTTTTTTTTTTAAAAAGAGCAACTCTTGCGGGATAATAAAAACATGACCTTCTATGTCAGTTTACAAATAAATTTCAGAAACACATCCACTGTAAAAAAGCAGAGAAAAGCTACAACAGTAAAGCCATTTGTTAAAGCCCTTTTTATTTCATGGTACCTTTAGTGCCTTGATTTGTATTTCCTACCCGAGGAAGTGGTCCCAAGGTGAGAAAAGCCACACACACACACACAAAGACCAAGTAGGTACTTGGCTATCTGTTTTTTGTGTTCTGTGAGATGGTTTATATGTTTTAAGATTCATTTATTTCTCCACCTCCCATAATCATTTCCCCAGATTTGGAGTGTGTCTCAATTCATATACTTTCTAAAACTAAATGAACACTCCTTAAACCAATTGGAAAGGAACAGTGGATATTCATGATCTTTGCTCTTAAAAACAATCACTAAATAATATGTTTTGTGTAACTTGTTTTCAAGCCCATCTATGCTTCTTTGGGGGCAAGGTTGTCTTCCTGGCATGTTCTTCAGAAACTGTTTATCTATTTATTAATTGCTATACATATTAACTCCACAGAAAATATGTTGCTGAATCTAGATTCTGGCTTTTTCTCTTCCATAATCTAGGGATCAAAACCTCCAGTGTCTGCATGTGTGAAGGCCACAGGAAGTGGTAGGGACTGTGGCAACGTATGAGAGCACAATGCACTCAAAAGGCATTCACATTTAAAATCATAATAATAAACACTATAAGAACTTGAAATTTTTTTATTTACCAAATCTGCTTCGCAGCCAGCCAGTTTTCTAACTCTGTATATAATGAAATGAAAAGCATCTTCTGTCCTCCCTGTTGAGAGTCAAAGCCTGTTCTCTCTGCATAAGATTTTAGAGGCCATCTTGCCTGCACCTTCTTCACAGTGTAAGTGCAGCAGCTGATGGGCAGATATCTTACCTTTGTGCATCCACTTTTCCGGCCTGAAGTTCAAAATGGGACTTGGAGTTCTGATCTCCAGATTTTCTCTCCCCTCCTCAGCGGGGCTGAGCAGTGGCTCCCGATTGGTGGCAGCCTCAGATGAAGGTGTGGGGGCCAGGTGGCCAGCCCAGGTGGGCTCTGGAGGCTCATTCTCTCTGTCCTGGGCTCCAGGGCCACTGACCTACACAAAACATTTACATTTTTCTTTTTAATTTACATTTTTGTTTTGAGTGGTATCCAGTAAAAAAAGCTAGTTTGCTTTTGGGAACATTTAAGGGAAAGTTCAGCATTGTTGCTTCTCCCCAACTCTCTAATATTAACGATTTCAGTAAAAGCTCAAGAAATGATGCCTTCTTCTATGTCATGCACATCTGAATGTACAAACTTTGGGTTTCCCCCACCACTTTGTGTGAGTGTACATGTGTGTACACTTCCCACCGCCAGGCACAGATACTTTTGTACTGGGCCTTCCAGAGAGATCGACGTGCAGGGCATGAAAGATGTGAGGTTGAGAGGAGTTTATCTTCATTCTTTTCTTAGTTACTGGTATGAGGTGGGAAAGTAGCCACTAATTTCTTTAACCATTTTTTTTCACGGCCCTGTCCCCTCCATTTCCTAACACTAGAGAATTTAAAAATTGATGCCAAAATATCTACCACAAATGCACCCCATTTTGAGATTGGGAAGGGGGGTGGCAGAGGACAATAATACACTAAAATAAAAACATAGCAATCACTTTTCATCTCATCCTCTTATACAGCCCCGAGAAAAGGTCAAATGCTCCAGGACGCTTAGCTTCTAAAAAGTTCTGAGAAATGTTTGCTAGTTAAGGAAGAAAGAATTAAAATTTCAAAAGCAAGTATTGTGCACTAAAAATTTTAATTTTCATCCAAATTTATGATATGTTATAAAACAAGGGAAAAAAGATGTTTTGCTTTAAAAGAAAAAAAAGTCATGTTAGTTATTCTTGACCACAATTGCCAGGAGCCAGGTGAATCTTTTGTGAGGCCAATGAAGTTCTTTTTTTGTTCTTTTTTTTCCCTTGGACCCCAGCTACATGGAGTTGAATTGATCATTCACCTCAGTCCTGGCACAGTATGGTCACTTATTCTCACAAGGCCCTCTCTTGTTTATTTTTTTGTTGGCTATTGGTTGATTGATTGACTTAAATAGGGAAATCTGTGAACTAGGTAAAAGTCATTTTTTATGCTTTTTTTTCCTGTGGTTCCTGTCATCCTGTGTCCAGAGCCAGCTGTCATTATTAGCTGCTCTCTGCCATCTAAGCTGTTCTATTGCTTTTGAGTCTGTGTGCGTGCGCACGTGCGCGCGCGCACACACACGCAGGGGAAGGGTTAATCAATTCTATTCTGTCTGTATATTTTTACCGTGGTTAAAGTACTACCAGGTAAATCAGAGCAAATATTTCCACTGGGGCTGCTCTGGTTGTCAGCCCTATTTAAAGGGCACTCAATTAAAATAGTGCAGTTTGACTAGCCCCAAATTTGGTACAAATGGAGGGAAAACTGTGGGTTAGTGGGCATTCCTCTTCCTCTCAGAATGATCTTGTGTATACATATGCCAATTTGAATGTGCACTTTTGTTGTAACCATAGAACTGGGGAATTTTAAGGCTAGAGGAAAACTTTCTCAGTACTTCATTTTCTATTGGGGAATCTAAAGCTCTAAATGATCAAGGAACTTCCCAAAAATTAGTAAGCTAGTGGCAAAAATCTGCGAAACGCTTGACTCAGGAAAGAAATACTTTTGTTTTTCTTTTGCTTGCACATATTTCATTTTAAGCAAAATGTACAGGAAAAGGCTGCCTGTGGTATAGTTTGTCAAACATAAAAAAGCCAATGAATATTAGGCTACACTTCAGATACACTATCTGTTAGATAAGAATGTTCCTTTGAAGAACTGCATGGGGCAACGTGGTTTTCTTAAAGGAAATAACTCAGCCTTTAAATCATTACCTAGTTCAAGTCTAAAGGCCTCATAAGTTATTCTCTACCTCTTACACGTTCAGGAGTGTGTGTTTTCTTTCTCAATCAGATCATTTGGGAATTTTGACTATGAGAGCATTACACCTCAGGTTCCCAGAACGATTGAAATTACTTTTTTTCCATAGATGAGAATAATTGTATCTTTTGGCTCCATGAGATTTCAGATTATTTAATCAAATGCGTAACTGTTATGGTTTGCCATTTTTGTAATTTTCTTCCTTATTACAAAAGCAAACATCCTTATTGAAGAGAACTTAGAAAATCTGAACAAGCCAAAAGAGAAAATAAAAATCACAAGCGATTGATTCCACTTGCCAGAAATAATCATTGTTGATATTCAGGTGTATTCTTTCTTATGTGCATATATTGTTTTAACAGCAAAAAAAGAAAATACTGTGTGTTTGGTTTTTTATTTTTTTTAAGTTTAATATATCATGGTTCCATATAGTTTACTGTGACTATAACACCATTTTATTTATTTATTTATTTATTTATTTATTTATTTTAAAGATTTTTATTGGGGAATTGGGGGATGGGAACAGCGCTGGGGAATTGGGGGAAGGGGAACAGACAAGTTGCTGTCATTTTGTTCTTCAGTCTAGTTGTGGAGGACGTTGCTTCACTGGCCCAAGTTGGCACCATCATTGCGCTCTTCCCGGGCGAGGCAGATCAGTCACTGGCTTCTGGACCACCACTCACAGTGGCTGCTGGCCACTCACACTGGCTGCTGGCTACACATGGTAGCCCATAGCAACCCACTGTTGCAGGGGCTGCAGCCTAAGGCAACTCACGGCAGCCCAGCTCCAGGTTGAGCTGTTGTTCAGCATCTTAGCTGTAGAGGGCAGTGTCACTGGCCCTCATGTGGGATCCAAACCGGGGCCCTCTGGCATCCCAAGCCAGCTCTTAACCAACGTGCCACTTGCCCGGCCCTATAACACCATTTTAAATATGGAATATATATAACTACAATGGCCTTTAAAAGGAAATATATATATATATAAAATATGTTTTTTCTTCTGTTATAAACCACATGGCTGATTGCTGGGTCAAAGAACACACATATTTGAGCTTCTGAGACAAAGTCCTCTTCCAAAAAGTTTTGTAAACTTACACTCTCACTGCTGAGTGTCTTAAACTATCACCATTTGATATTATGATTGAAAAAATATATAATTCCCAGTTTAATAGGTAAACATTTCTTCAACTGACCTACATGGCCCCACCACAACCGTCGCCTCCACAGTTTTCTAAGTTTGCCTCCACTATTCCCAGCACATCTTGCTATGACTTTCATTTCTGCTGCTTCTTCATTCTGCCTCAGGCTCAAAGTGAACTTCGCATGAAGATCCTCATCTGCAAAACCTTTCCCAATAACCCCATCAGTACTAATGCTTCTCTTCCAGATAGAGCATAGTACCTTCTAATGGTTCTGTGCTTGGACCTGATGATGTAAAAGTTAACCTTTAATCCTATACTGTCTTGCACCATTTCCTTTTTCACATGTGTAATATTACTTTCCTGATAAGAGAGATTAAACCATGCCACGTTTCTCTTTCCTTTATTTCTTCCTTCTTTCTTCATCTTTTTTTAAGTCTTTGTAGCATAGAACAGCAAATAGTAGCTACTGAATAAATTCAGAATGGATGACAGAGAGCGAGAGGGAGAGAGAGAGAGAGAAAGAGAGAGAGAGAGAACGAACTTTGGACTATTCAATCCTCTAAGCTTTAATATTACCATTTTTAAATAAGAAAAAATTAGATCCTAACATACCTTCCAGTTCTAAAAGTGGGATGTAAGCAGCCCCAAACTTTACTGGTAGAATGCACACCGAATTCATGATAGTGGCTCCCCTTGGAGAGAGGACAAGGAGAAAGAGGCTCTAAAAGAAAACAAGCAAGGACTTTATCTGAAGCAAGAATAAGTGAATGAATGGAAACACTGGTTATGTCTGGGTGGTGGGCACTCAGATGTTTGCTATATGTAGTCTCTGTTCTTTTTATAAATCCTAACCCTAAAAACAAAAGTCTAATTACCAGCTCTGCACATTTCTGCTCCCATCGCACTGGCTGGCCTTGGAGGAGAAAAATGGTCCCAGCTCCAAGCAGGACCTCACCACAGGAAACAGACACAGCTACAACTAGTGGCACGTGAGGGGTGAACACATGGAGTGTGGAGCTGCTCCCTGCAGCTGGACAAGCAGATTTGTTATTGTCAGTCCCTTTCCGTCTTACAGCAGCTCTTTAATGGGAGGAAAACAGATTTCAAGCAGGTTCCTAGGAGCATGAATGCATGAGCCAAGGGGGAATTACTAACCAGGCACCACATAATTCCAAAAGGTCGTTTGGTTTCTGATTTCCAGACATTTCCCGTGTAGTTCATTACTCAGAATCTTTGTACATTACAGACAAGCTCTTCAGATCTGAGCTCATGTCTCCTCTGGATGAATGCTAATGATCTCTTGCCTTAGCCCTGGTGTTCAGACTTAGCCGTTCCCAGCATGCAGGTCCAGGTTTCTCCCAGTTGGCTGTGAGGATTCTGCTCTTGCCAGCTGGCTCAGCCACCAGTGCCTTCAAGGTGCCTGGCTTCTCTGACCTTGACTGACTCTTCCCAGATGACAACACTTTTTTGGCAGGTCTTTTAGCACTTATGTACGTAAATTGAATGCTCTTTATTTGCATTTAAGGTTCTTGAGGACTGTCAGGAACACCTTGAGTTTGTGCTGGGACCTCCCCTGGTCACCTGCAGCTTTCCTAGAGGATGAACTGCAGGGTTTTACTCTGCTTGCACCCTCACATACATTGATGTAATGCCCTCCATTCCAGCTTTGCCCAGTAAATGGTTCTGACTGTTGTAATCATATACTTATACAAAAGGAAGAATATTCTGGTAATAATTCCTTATTTTAGAATTGAGAACACCGAAACCTTAAGAAATACATGATTCACCCAATGTCAGGCAGCCATCAGGTTTCATTTCTAAGATGTCATTCATTATGAGAGACACTAGGAATTTCGAAAGTCTCTAAAAAAGGACCAGAAGACACTAACTAGATGCGTCCCAATCTCTGAAATAATAAATAGGAAAAATATAAACTTTAGAGCCCAGGAAATAAAGTATTTAACTTGAGCATTGAGACTACCAAGTTTCCTGGCTTCCAGGTCTGAGATATTTGTTCTAGA